CCCTAGCATTTGAGACGAACAAAGTACATTGATCATAAAGAGCATCAGCGCAAACCTTTAGCTGAAAGCCCCGCCCTTTTTTCAATGCGTACGTGTCTCATGACTTCTGGCTAAGAAGTCGCTTTTCCCCACACAGTCTGATAACTAAGAAATTGGCGTAGTAATCACATTGCCATGAGCCTATCTCTGAACAAACGAAGAACATTTCGAGCAAACTCACCATCTTTCTGAAATGAAGTTAAACGGACAATAAGTGTTGACCAGATTTTGACTTCTGCGTTCAGCAAAGGATCAACCGGTTTATCCTCTGCATTCAGAGCGAAGTTATATATACCGTTCGAATCTTCTTGTTTAAATGCTTCGCATTTCTAGCCTCATATCACGAAGTTGCGATATTTACTTCTCAAATTGAACTTGTTGAATCAGTATCGTTTCAGTTATTCTTGAAATGCTTTTAGGCGAAATCGGTTGGTGAAATCGGTTAGGTGAAAATTTTTGGTGAAATCGGTTAGGTGAAATCGCAGTCGTCTGAGCACTTTTGAATTGATATTTTGTTTCAGCACAAATATCTTTCTCTGGAATACGGAAGAACCAACATGTTTGCAAATATGTTCGGTTCAACGTGATGGAGAAGCCATGCACTTCTGGTTTAGATTTTTTTCTGAGAAATGAATCACTGAGCCAGAGTATTGCTGATACAGTGCTAGCGGTCAGATAAAGGTCTTCTAGCTGGTTCGTTTGGAAGGCATTCGATAAATTTACGTACGCTCTGTTTTTATATCAAATTTTTGCCCTGAGTTTGTCTATTTGAGACTGCCACCATTTTGTAAGAGTATCTTTCTTAATTTTTGCGTCACCGGTTAGCGTTTTTTGTCAAAAAACACTTAATTAAACTCACACCTAATGAAAAGTTATAAATGAAGGAAGGTAAATCATTAGAAAAAGTGAGAGATATCTAATTCCGCTAAGTCAATATTTACCATGTCTCCATACTAACGTATCAGATGTTTATTAGATTTTTATTATCGAGTTGATAAATCAATGTATACCATTTTATGTTACGTTAAAAAAATTAAGAGTCTTTTCAGGCCCCCCGAACATTTAAATGAGTTGTCCATGTTCTCTTACAGTTTCAAAATTACTCTCAGACGGGTATTAATCTTTACAAACAACGAAGCTCCACTATTAGTAACTAACTTAATTAAAAGAGCTAGAAAATCGAACTTTGCCTACTGGAAATTTTAGCTATAACCCTGTATTGAAACTGTAGGAGTGCTATAAAAACATATACTTCAAATATTACGAGTTTTTACTATTTTTGGGAGGTTTGTATAAGGATGCCTGTCTTTACATTATATTTCTGTTTACGTCAGTGTCCAAAGATCAGCTCACGGAAGTAGACAACTTGTGTTATTAGGACTTTGAAATAAACCCCATCTGTTTTCATCTTAAAAGAGTATAGAGTAAATTCATATGTCGACACAATAGAGTTGAATAAATGTTGAATATTAAACTCATATATGGTTGAATAGCATATACAGAAATGAATGTAATAGTGGATGAGCTGAATAGTGCAATATTTGGCCTGTCATACTGTATTAAGAAGAAATAATAACTTGTACGAAGAACTTTAGAAACAACTGCTGTTGAGATACGAGAAACTAGCTTTTACTGAATTTCACATCGTAAGAACATTGTCCTTGCTTTTATTGTGTACTCCAATCTTCAAAGGTCCTCATCAATTCTAGATGGATTGACTGACTGAAAGTGTTTTTCTCCATGCTGTTATAAACTATAAAAGTATAAATTGGACTGCATGATCGATTTTAAGTCCAAGAACTTCGATTCCCTACAGTTGTTTACACCCTGAAGAAGCGCAGTCATATATGAACAGTTTCTTGCTGTATTGAGCTAACATCTGGTCTCTACAGCCTCCAATTTGCCCTACTCCTCAGAACCTGTTCCATCTTGGAAGCTGAAACTCAATACTTCCTTCATCTAACAATACACTAGTGGTAACACGTATCGTGATGTAGTGTACGCAAATGAGGAGCCTCCCCTAAGACAGATAGCGTCGTCAGACTACGATGATTCCGAATTTCTTTGGTCAGGTGCCTAGCTACATCAGGGAACCGTGGTCAATCTGAAAACGTATCGAGATAGGGCATTTTCTGTAGCAGGACCGAAACTGTGGAAATAAGGCAATCATCATGCGGTAACTGTTTCTAAAAATAAGCTGTAGACTCTTTTCAGTTCTAAAGAAGCATTTGATTAGTAATTTTTATTATCATATGACCCATACTTCTTCGCTCACGCAATCCCATAGGACCACTGTGAAGGCTAACTTGTGTGGGGCCGGACGAGTTGACATGGTCAGGTAAGGATATATTTACTACAAGATCTACTTAGCTGGTTCCTTCGCAAAGTATACAATCAACTTAAGCAAGAGGCTGCTTTTCCATCAAAATTTTGCCTAGAGTTTGTCCATTTGAGACTGGCGCCATTTCGTGAAAATATCTCTCCCAATTTCCGTTTCTCTAGATAAGGTTTCTGTTCGGGGTAACATTTAATTAATCGTAACTTGAGGAAAGTTGTGAAAGAAGCAAAATAAACCACTGGTCGAAGTGATACTTCCGCCCAAGATAGACAGATAGATAAATAGTTAGATAAATAGATAGATAGATAGATAGATAGATAGATAGATAGATAAATAGATAGATAAATAGTTAGATAAATGGATAGACAGATAGATAGATGGATAGATAGATAGATAGATAGATAGCTTTATTAAAAATCACATGGCAGCCTGATAGGGTTGAATTGCATGAATATTTACAATGCAATACTGGCTAAAATTACAAATTATATTTACAGAGCATATAGTTTACAAGAATGATACTAGTCAATATATACCATATGTTCAACTACTCTTCCAAGTCATGAGTCTCTCCAAGCCCCCAAACATTCAAAACGAGTTGTCCATATCCCTTTACAGTTTTAGAATTACTCCGGAAATAATTACCATGTTCCTGAGAAATTGAGGGGTGGAACTGGAAAATTGCCTACTGGAAAATTCTACCCATACCCCTGTATTGAAACTAAAAGGACTGATATAACGACACCTTTTCCAAGTATTAGGAAGTTTCTATTTTTGGGATGTTTCCCGCGTTTGTATTCCTTTCTTGATATTTCCTGTTTGTTTCAGTATCCAAGATACAGCTTCAAATATATCAAATATAGCTTGTATTATTGTTATATATTTTTTTTTATTCGAATCTTTGTACGTTTGTTGAATTGTCACGCATGTTATATATACTTTTGAGAATTCAGGCCATTTCTTGCTGTGGTATTGAACGTAATATAGACTGCAAAGATCACAGGGTTTTGGACTGAAATACAGCTGGTTTTCTTCTCAAAGGAGGATGGAGGTATTTCCGTTTATTTTTACACAAATTAAGTAACATAGAGATGTTGATTTTACCTAATGATGTATTTGATGCTGCAGTGAGAGCTTAGTGGGGCGCAATGATAATGGCTTCCGACTTTTTCTTATAACAATAGGGGTCATTTCTACAAGACCAGCGTCTGACGCCCTTGAGATCCTTGTTGACATTGTGCACAGCTAAATCAATATTCTATGAGCTGGAATGCATCGCAGTATCGTCTGCGTATAGCGAGAGAGCGGACGTATGACATGCCTTCGATATGTATGAATAGTAAATAATATTGGTCCTAAAACTGATCCCTACGGGACGCCAAAAGAAAGACGCATGGGATCTGAATTAGCATCCTTGTAGACGACATACTGTAATCTCTTAGAAAGGTAACTGTTCAACCACGACGTAGGATTCGAGCTTAGTTAGCAAGATTTCGTGTTTAATAATGTCAAATGCCTTTCTCAGGTCGGGGAAAACAATAACAGACTTGTTATTATCCATCCATCTTCTTCGTCTCAGTTACTAGGAGCTGAAATGTGTCCTGCTTTGTTTTGCTTTGTTCGTCGTCGCCACATCTGCAGCCCCTGGTTGCAAACGGTGTGGACCAGAGGGAAAGGCAAAGATTAAAAAAAGTAACGCTGATGAATTATATGAAATGCAACCAGGTGCATTTCATATAATAAATATAATAAACATCTGATACGTTAAATATGAATTATATTTTCTTTGCAGTTAAATCCAGGAAGCAGTGAGAAATCAGGGTATTTATATTTCCTCTTCATTCTCCTTGGCATTCATCTGTTGTCGCTTCAGCGACTAAGCTGGGTTTCTTCGTGCAAAAGTAACACCAAGCTGACCGCTTTGCATACGTTTCAAAGTTACTACGAAGTTTGGCCCAAGTTAGATCATTTCAATTCTAATTCAAAACGACTGGATTCCTCATTGCTTTAAATAATTGCTCATAGGCAGCAAATAATGAAAGGTGGTAAAGGTACAAATCTGTTAGGTTGTAGTTAGATAAGTCAATGGGGTAAAGTATTTTGAGCGTTTGCCTTAATATGCTTCCTTATGGAAGAGAAGATACCAATTATGGCAACATTCATTCACTAATACTGTGGTTTTTTGGTGTCGACTAGCAGCATCGAATGCAGATTTAAAAGGTAAATAACTCCAAATTGTATTTTTCCTTATAGAATACAACTGTGTCAAAATACAACCTTAAAATTGATGTCGGTGGTAAGAATTACATTGAAGAATTACCATCAACACCAAGAACCAAACGGAGACTTTTCACATTCCAAAGATGAATTCTTCCAATGCTGGGGAGGTGGACGTGGTTTATGACTTTAAAAGAGTAAGTAAAAGAAAGAGTGGGATAATTGACGAACTGATTTAAAAAATTACTATAAGTCGAGTTAACTCAATCGGATAGTTTTGATTTTTTGTTAATTTGGCATTGGTCAGAAAAACTTTATTTGAGTAAACCCAAGTCAAATCCCTCTGCGCCTCTCATGATGAATTCATTTTTCCTTTGGTAAAATTTAGTCATGCGTCGAATGTATGCTCAAAAAGCCTGTTTTCTGAGTAAAATCACTGAAAATGTTCCTGGGCCCAACGATCTGAAGAAGGCATTCGACGAGGTAAGTCATTTTTAAACTACATTTTATTCACACCTCTGATCCACAATTGCTAATAATTCTAAAACGAAATACTTTTATTTATGTGAAATTCTATTATAGATTTAGATCCAGTGTGTTTTTGAAACTGCGATTTTACAAGTCCCGTGACTAGCCGTATTCAAATTTTCTTTGTCTAACATCATTTTTCAGCTGAATGGTACATCGCCAATACCCTCAACCTGGAAACTCAACGCAGCTCAAGTACGAAGTTGTCGGAATCGTCAACAATCGATCACGTTTGAGCGATGAAATGGCTGGAATGTGTGCCAAGCTGCCGATTTATCACATCAAGAAGAACGATGGTAACAATTTTTTTTCGTACTTTGCCAATAATTTTTTTCTTGACGCGCGACGAGGCCGTAGATCATAAAAACTGTCATGACTTACATATTTCCATTATTGTTGGTGCTAAAATCGTTTGTCCGCAGTCAAAGAATATTATAGAGCTTCCACTTTGAACTTTGGCTAGTTTGTAATTGAAGAGAGAAGATTAGCGAACGTTACCTTTTTTAATCTTACATCTTTTTCAGAAAAATCTTACCTTTCTTTCAAAAGATCTTACATTTCCTTCAAAGCCCTAAAAACTCTGATATTTGTTCTTTTAAGTCCAAGGTTCCGGTCTGACACTCAAAACCCACCTCGGGACATGATATTGAATGCTATCTCGCTGACGTGCCCCGGTTTGCTTTAAATATGCCATTCCATGATTCATTTTCTATTACATGCTGAAACCACTTCCAGGGGCAGCATGGTTTGAGAACTACCTTTTATTGTCTTTATTAATGAGCATTCTCCTACTGAAGAGTTAAAGAAGCCAGTTATGAATGTGCGCGAGTTCCTATTCGCCGTATGGGATGCCCAGGGTAATACGACTTGTCTTATTTTTGCAGTTGGTAAGAGATTTAGGCGACTAATACTGTACCGGCGTTTCTGCCCCTTATCGTGCTACGATGTTTGGCGCTGCTGGGGGGTTGGAAGAAAGTGCTACTTGCGGCTGGGTGCGAGATTGTGTTAGGCCATGTTGTCAGTTAGGATGTTTTCGGTTAGGGTATCGATGTTGTCGGTCAGGATTTTGATGTTGCCACTCAGGAAATGGATATTGTCAGTTACCATGAAGAGAAAAGAAATTAAGCCACTCAGAGAAATATCATAATACAATTTCACGCACGGGATGTAATTATTCATGTCTCCTTTATTATAGTGGCGCACTGAAGCTTGAAATTTGAGAAAAAACACTCTGCAGTATCGCTCTGTATTGATGAGGAATCCCAGCAGAGAGCCGGCAATATATACCAGCTAAGGCGAAGGGGTTGAAAATTAAAAAGTCGTCAGAGAAACTAAACTGTATAGTAAAGCATTGCTGTATCGTGTGCAAATGCACAAAGTAAAGTCGAAGAAATTTTATAAGTAATTCGGGCTGAGCACAAAAGATTTTGGAAGAATCAGGTTTACATGATGTGCTACCCAAAATGCGTATGAAAGAGTATTATGTACATATGATGTACGATCCTCGCAGTAGATAGCGCTATTTAAGCAATAGCTTTTGCTTTTGCTTACTGCTTTTGCTTTTAAGCAATAGCTATTGCTTGAATAGCGCTATCTACTGCGAGGATCGTACATCATATGTATCTAATACCGCAGTTCAAAATATATGAACTTCATATATTTCATTGTATCTCATTTATCACTTTCACGGGTTTATTACGAATCAACTTAACGGCCTGCTCCCAGTTGGCTTGTTAACTCAATTGGTAGAGCGCTGCACTAGTATCGCAGAGGTCAGTGGTTCGAATCCCATACGGGCCTGATTTTTTTCAGGTCTGATTTTCGGTATTGCTTAAATAGCGCTATCTACTGCGAGGATCGTACATCATATGTATCTAATACCCCAGTTCAAAATATATGAACTTCATATATTTCATTGTATCTCAAAGAGTATTATGGTATTTTTCGAAATGGCTTCCAGTAACTATGAGGATGACCACTGTTCACAGAAACGGCAAACGAAAACAAAAAATGATAGAATTAGTTCTTTGTTAATTGAAAAAAGCGAGCTAACATTTAACCTTTTTAACTAAAAGGGAAGCATGGGGTGTCGAATCGATAATAAAAGGAAATAAATTGATAAGGAAACAAAACCCGTAAATGATTTAGTTTTACAGACTGGGGCTAGATTGGGCTGTGCGAAAATTTATCGACAAGTAACGGTGACGAATTGGCTTTAAAAATATTCGTTGTTACGTAGAGCGGCAACACATATCAAATATTGCTCTTCGCATGTTATAACGAATAATGCTGCTTTAATGAATTCGTCACAGAGGAAGCTCGATTACAAAAAGCTACGCACAAAATTACATTTAGTTATCTGGGTATATTGTCTAACTTAAGCTACAACGATGCGAGAAGACTATCTCAACGCGATTCAGATAAACAACAAGACAGAACGTAATCCGATAAAATATGTGTACTCCTGCTTAAGTCTAACCCTACAAACCGAAGGATGCCATAGCGATGTTTTTGACGCGGGTCTTGTACTCAGTTACTAGCGGGATAAAAAACTAATGACGATTGTATGACTATAAAAGTAGGTATAATAAAACCACTCGTTTAACGTATCAACCCGTTTATCTCTTTATCTTACTAAATGATAACACTGAAGTTGATATTGGATCCCATTCATTGAGGTTTTGAAACGACCTTTCCGAAACTGAAAATTAAATGCAAGGCACCATGAGTTGCTCTTTCAGATGAACAGGAGAAAAAAGTCTATTTCTTGCAATTATTACTGATCAGTTGTCGTTTGACACAGATCATGCAATGACCATTAGCCTCACATGAATGTTGAACTTTTAAGTTTGATGACCAAACATCACCCAATAGCAAAAATAGCTTTGAGTTATCATAGCGAGCGACCGAAGTCAGCGTGTAATCGCTGTTGTTTCAAAGTATTGCCATGTAAAAGCTGATTCATTGCACAGATAAACACGAGGGTGAACACTATGAACCAAATTTCTCTGTCATGACTAGTATCTTAAAATAGTCTGAGTAGAGTAATGGTAACAACAGACTGTATGGCTAAAACTGTTAAATCTCGGTCTCATATACCAGACAGGGGTCTTGCGGCGTCTCACGAGTCGGATTTAACATCAATACAGTGATATTATTGTTGGTGTTCGCTTTTTTTTTGTGGTATCCATCTGCTATCAATTCAAAGCTGTACACGAGAAGCGTGTTAGCACAACTTTTATAACCTTCCAAAGATTCGATAATCTGAACGTCCAACACACTGCAAACCAATTCTGTTTTTTCTTGTTCAAAAGGCTTTGTTATTAGCTATTCACACGTGAGACATACAACCCTCCAGAGAATGTAACTGTGCATGCGCATTAACGCGATTGCTAAAGGAAGTGCATTTGAGGGGTCAAGCCTTTTCATTAAATAATGTTCGTTTCTGCAAGCACAGAGCTGAAACGAGTTAAAAACTCTGTGTAACTAAATAGGAACGAAAGTACCTAAGCTTCAATATGGTTACCTTAACGAGACAGTTTTCGAAATGAATGCAAACTAACTCAGACTTTTTTCTTGAAATCGGATTTATTTTCCTGGAACGTGCAATAACTCGATGTAAGTTATACTCTTGTTATTGCTTTTAGTTCATGGGAAGTTAACCTCCAAGTTGCACTTGCTTCAGCGACCGCGCAATTACGCATGCTCAATATCACAAACAAAGGTTTCAGTCATCTTACCGCTTGTAAACAATCAAAACGATCAATTTTCTTTTCCTGAAATCAGATATATTTTCCTAGTACGTGTAATAACTCGATGTAACTTATACTCTTGTTATTGCTCTTAGTTTATGGGAAGTTAACCTCCAAGTTGCACTTGCTTCAGCGACCGCGCAACTACGCATGCTCAACATCACAAACAAAGGTTTCATTCATCTTACCACTTGTAAACGATAACGCAGTTATGATAGTAACCAGACTCACGAGAATAAAAAAGCCGCACATGTTCATCATTCATTATGTAACTTAGAAAAGTTACGCAACAGGTATTCAAACAGTGCCCTATCTTGCAACTTTTTTGAAAATGAACGGAGGTATAATTCTGACAGTGCGATCTAAAAAAAACAGTCAGTTCAGATACTATCAAATAGTTTGACCGAGGAACTTTCTCTCGATTTTTTTATGATATTCTTGTTGTTGTTGTTGTTGTTGTCAGCCGAGGTATAACACTAACAATGAACCCTGCTGATCTGCTATATATCTTTCTGCCAAAAAGAGAAGTTTCGTCTGAAATATTTCCATCTTTCGACTTACTGTCCTTCTTTGTTTCTTTTCATGCCGATCTTTTTAATTCAGTTCAATATTCCAATTGCACTTGCTTCAGCAATAACATTACTACGCATGTCCAGTCACGTTAGTCTTGACTCAAGATGACTGGCTTAGATGAAGTCTTAGTCAGTCTGGGAAGGTATTTGAAAAGTCCCTCGACAACTTTCTGTGGGGTTCATAATCGCTTAAAATCACAAGTTAAATCTACCATGCATCTGGAGAGAACTGAAAATGTTTTTGACCCGAGTGAGGGAAAATAGACAAACAGAGATTGGAATTTGCGTTACTCGTGGAGGGCAAATGTTGTTTTGCCATTTTGCTCCATTGTTCGTCGAAGTTGCGGCGAAATGACTTGAAAAGCTTTCTGTATTTGTGCTCCATTATTTTTTAACAATTTGGAAATGAGCTGAGGTCTAGTACTGACAGTTACCTAATTTTATTTTTGCAAACGATCAATCTCGAGGCTACTTTGAACGAAATTTGTCAGTTTTTTCAACAAACAATCCTTCGATATCTATTTTTCTCCAGAAACTAAATCACTTGTATTTAACGTTCCAAATGCACTTCCTTTAGTGACGGCATTACTTTGCATGTCCAAAGGTGTTACTGGTAAATCTATTGGATTTTGCCTGTCAACAACAATTGGATATGCTGGTGAAATCTGCATTAATTAGAAACTCCTTATGGAGTGCAGACCATACAGGCTGCGACTTGCGTTACCTCGGCCGTGATCTGATTAACTCTGTAACCTGTTATCACTTACTCAATGCAATCTTCTTTCAGTCGCCATTCTCCGGCAAGTATCAAGTTCTAATCATATATCATGTAAACCTATTTTACTCATTTTTGAGTATGCGTAGTTAGGTTACTGCTAAAGGAAGTGCAACTTTTACTTTGTCACGTGTCCAACGGTGGGCCAGACAAGCGGTTGAAAAAAATGACGTCCTACTGATATTTATCATGAGCTCAAGTTCCTGAGAAGATGGGTATTTGCCATTGAACTCTCAGAGAATCATGTTTACTTATTCACATTTGGCAATTCCGTGGGAACAGCCTATTACAAACGTGCTGTGGCAGCTTGCTCATTACGCAATGCGATGTAAAGTTGACCCATGGCGACCCCGTTTTAGCAGTTCAGCGCTAAATCTATGAGGGAATCGATCCAACTTCATCAGTGTATGTCATCAACCCACGATATCAGATTATGACAGTGAGGAAGTAAGGTAGCTTTGTAAAGGTATAAAAGAATACTGCTTAATGATTCCTATCCATTCACCGTGGAGAAAGGAATTATTCCCTTGCCACAAGAAGAAGCAACTCGACTGAGAGACGATCATCACCAGAGTTTGGACAACTGAAAGATGGTGCGTACATTTGACGATCCTTAAATACTTGTATTAACAAGAAGTTAGCTTTGCCTTTCAAATACACAGGCATGATTATTATCCAGTTGTTTTTTAATACAAGCTCAAAATGAACTTCAGCGATGTAGCTGGGTTTGAGAGAAGGGGTGGGGCTCTCCTTTAAAAGTTAGCACAGCGTGAAAATCACAGAGTTTCTAAATTAATGTTTTTCTTTTTTATCATCAGGAGTTAAAGGTGTACCTCCTCTTTTTTGCCTTGTTCGTTGCTGCCATATCTGCAGCGCGTAACTGTACATGTGAAGATGAAGATAAGGTAAAATCAAAAAGCACTCTCTTATTTTGACATGTATCCAGAACTTACTTGTTCTTGCAGAATGCTAGTATTTTATACTTCTCTAGATCTATTCTAGGCGTAAAATTGCTGAATAAATCATTGAAATAAATGCGTCAAAATGTATGTTCCCTCAATTTGTGACAACAAAGTAAATTCATAGTAAAGTAAATACTAATACTGTATGAAATGTGAAGGTTAAGTGTAGGGATTTCATTAAGGGCCAGGCACCGGGAAAATTGACCAGTTGTGAGAACAGTTTTGCCCACCTGGTTTGACGATCTGGAGGAAAATTCATCTTATAAAGAAGTTCAGTTCAAAAAGTTTTGCCTGCCTGTGAAAACCAGTTGCTCTCCTGCTAAAAACATCAATGAAGCCTGTACAGGAGCTTATTGGCCCACCCTGCTTAAGCTTATACTGGTTTCCATGTAGCACGAAGCGACAATGAGTATTACTACTCCCCCTGGATGGGATGTTAGTCCATCACAAGGTTACCCCCCCCCCTGTATTTCGTCAGGCTTCCCTGACCATTTGCCAGTACTCATTTCTACTCTTGGGTGGAGAGAGGCATGGTGTGAGTAAGGTGTTTGGCCCAAAAACATAACACAGTGCCCTGGCCAGCTCTCAAACCCAGACTTCTGGACCTAAATTTCAGTGCATGCATGCGCACTGAGATTGCTGCTAAAGGGAAGGCAAATGTTATTTTGTCATTTTGCTGCATTGTTCATCCAAGCCGCGGCTGAGTGAAAAGCTTTCTGTGTTTGTACTCCATTTTTTAACAATCTGGGAATGAGCTGAGGTCCAGTACTGACAGTGGCTAATTTTATTTTTGCAAACGATCAATCTTGTGAGTGAGAGCAGTGTACAGCTGTTTCGCTCTCTTTAAAGCTCGTCAGCACTGCATAGACAACCACTCATTTTAGACACAAGTTCTTTGCTATGAGCGGTCATAACTTCCAAGGTGGACCAAAGTCTGTTTAATGCTCAGTCACCACACTACAAATTTGGGACTTGCTGCGATGTTAGCATGGCGTAAGGAAAAAAAAAGCGTCTTCAACAGTGCACCAGGAGAAATTGGTTGTATCCCATCTCGGTCATCAAAAAAAAGAAAAAAGAAAAAAAAAAAAGAAAAAGAAAAAAGAACTCGTAACAAAGAACTTGCGTCTTTCATGAGTGGTTGGCTGTGCAGTGCTGACGAGCTCTAAAGAGAGCGAAACACTGTCCACTGCTGCCACTTCCTTGGAACCAAAGCTGCACATGCGTAGTTCTGTCAATTTATTTTTAGGTACGTTACAAATTACATGTCAGGGCTTACGTTTCAATTTGAATATTAAATACGCGAAAAATTTAAATAGCGCGCGCTTGACTAGATCAAAAAATAATACAAATAATAATAATAATAATAAAATAAGAGACCAAGGGACAACGTAATTAAAAGGAAAGAGATAATTCTGGATGCTTGGGTTTTTCCCACTTAATATGCAATGCCTTTTTGATCTTAAATTGGTATTATGAAGCGGCAGAATCTAAGATCGTGAAACATTCAGTATCACAAGAGTCAAGCCATGCCCTTGATGATTGCAGGTGCTTGTAAATATGCGAAGTTTTGTCCGACAAGAGGTTCTCACGAACTCGTGTACAAATGTGGCGAGTGGTCTCACCAATATAACTGACATTACCGCCAGCACACGAAAATAAACAACTTGGTTGTTCCCGTAAAATGTTGAGAGTATTTTTTTTTGCAACGTCATTGCATTTTTGCAGTTACATTGCTAAAAAAAACACTCAACGCATTTAGAGGCATGTTTCTTCGGCGGGTTCTCTCAGTTAAAGTAAATGTGAATGAAGCTATAGAATAATGATGTGAACACATGCACATCAATCTACTTTTCTACTTCATAGGAGACCTTGTCCAAGTACAAAGTAAAAGTCAAAGATGGCGATGAACAGTTCGATGAAGAAATCAAAATCGACACCGATAAACAAACTGAGACTTTTCACATTCCAAAAATGAGATCTTCCAGCGCACGAGAAGTGGATGAAGTTTAAGACTTTAAAAATGTAAGTAAATTAGACTAAAGTCGCGTTAAAAGACCAGTAATTCTCAACGACTTTCTTGTCTTCGTAAGGTGATAGGTCTCATCACAAGTCTTTCATTTCATGGGTTAATATGTTTATTTCGATTATTTATCTGCGTTATTTAGAACAGGCTGGCCCAGTTCACTTTCAAGTTGGTTTAAATGGGGCCTTGTTTAAACGATAACAAGGCCAGACTACAAAACCAAGAGCTACGTTCCCTACTCTTTGCGAGAGGTGCTTGGGTCAGATGGCTTTAACGTCCCAGAGAAGATGTAGGAGACACGGCTTACGGTTTATTGTCCTTATCCGAGAAGAATAGAAAGTCTAAACATTTGTGGGTGTCATAGCAACTGCAGCACATTCCCCTCAGTTATTTTAAGACCCTAAGAGTTAGTCCGGTCTGGGGCTAACTTGAGCCCTCGACCTCTCCATCTCCTCAACCAACCACACAACCTAACCCTAACCCATGGAATGCTCTCTCAGATTCTTATCATCAATCTCTACTCTTTTGCTTGACTTACTAGATTTTTCCTCCAGCACGTGGTCATGCTCCGAATGCCTGAACACACAGTCTGTTTTTTAAGTGAATCCACGGAAAACAATCCAAAGCCTCAGGACCTTAAAAATGCACTTGACAAGGTAACTTCCCTTCCTTCATTCTCGAGCAACGATACTCTTGCTTTACGATGAAGTTCACTGGGGGATAAACCCTTTGTTGTTTCGTGTATTTTTTCCCTTCCATTAAATTATCATTTATACTGGTTGAAAGCGTCATTATTATCAGTACTATGTTTCGAAAAGCGATATTTTTCTCTAATTGACGACGAAATGCCATAAAAACAAATTTTGTGGTCGAAGACTCTCGACCTTCTTCCGGCTCGGACTATTCAATAAGCACTAGGATAAAAATAACATATTTTCATCCTACCAAATCCCAGTTTTGACTTCGTTTGTCGTGGAAGATATATCAGTCATCACAACTACTGAGAATTTCGTTCATGCTCTGAATTTTATTATCCACACAGGCGTCCCAAGCTCACTTCCCGAGGAAAAACAAAAGATAATTTCATAAAAGCGTCACGCGTTGTGTGACGCAGAGTTAAGTTAAGGGAGGAACGGTCGAGAATTTGAAGCGTTATAGGAATAGTATGTGAAACAAAATATGGTCGATATACAACACTAAATATTCCGTATTATGAACATTTTACACGTAAGATTGATAAAAATAAATCACTCCTTGTGTTCCCACTGTGGTTTTTGGCGATTTGTGCCATTTTGGGCCTGCTTTCCAATGACAGTTTTTCCTGTTATAAAAAAGACCGATTCACTTCGCCTTATATCAGTGACGTGACGTTTCATGAATTAATCTTTCGATTTTCCTCGAGAGGTGAGCTTGCAACGCCTGTGTTATCACCATCAATCTTGAATAAGATCACAACTTATGGAATGAGTACAGATTAAAATATAAATTTGATGGAAGGCCATTCATTTCATTTCTGAATTCCTTCTTCAGCAAAGCGCTTCAGGTTCCTCGAAATCTGTCAATTCTACAGACTACAATTACGAAGTTGTTGGCACCGTGACTGATCGTTCCACTCTGAGTGATGAAATGGCAGCTATGTGCGCCAAGTTTCCCATTTATCGCATTAAGAGGAAGAAGGTCTCTATGAGTGTCGAAAAAGAAAAGATCCAAGGTATTTCATAGTTTTTGTACATCTTTTGTTTTAACCGCTTTAAGTCCATAAATCTGTGGAGTTCATGCCCAAAGAATTCTGTATTGTGATTAGTTTTCTTTTTCATTCTCCAGGTGGTAAAGACAGGAAAAAGAGGGACATCTGCATCCGCTGCTGGATTGGCACCTGTTACCGCTCCAGCACAAAATTTGTAAATGGAAAGATTCAGATCATTATTACTATTTATAAGTGTTGGAAATGCATCACATATTTTTGCTGAAGACCAACAGTCGTGAGAAAACCTCTTCATCCAGAATTCTCAGCCAGGAAAATGAAAATTGACGCATTTTATTATTGATATCGTGTTATAGAACGTGTCAAAAACAAAACACTGCAAGAAAAAAAAAAGAATGGCTGTTTGCTTATTTTTAAAAAAATATTTTACATTTTATGATTTGTTTGTAGAGTTTACGTGTTTGCAAAAATAATAAAGAATCAGATGAATCGAGCAAATCAAATATCTTGGTGTTTTCTGAGTCAGCGTTTGGACATTCTCCGTTAGACTGAAGACTGATTAACCCATTTGACCTCCTAGGAGTGAATAACGTCTAAATTCTCTGTACAACAATCATCACTTTACAATAATCATTGTTGTAACCTGAATCACTCATTCAGCCTGAGGTTACAACAATAAAGGAAATGATCATACTGATATCAGGATGTAAAAGGTTAAAAAGGGTTGAAAATAAGAAGCAGAAATTTTCAAGCCAAAGAAAAATGAACAACGAGGTGGGTAAATCTGAGAGAATATTCACACTGATTTGTCAAGTTCCTCCCCTCTATTGTTCGAATTCCGAGACTTTTGATAAATGTTGTTTTCTCTACTAATCAACCAGACACAAAAGATTAATATATATCAGTACACCGCGCCGTTCATTTGGCGTCGACATCCGTAGAGATATCAACTGTGTCAAAACAACAAAGAAAGAAATTGCCCCAAAGCTCGGAATACGAAAGCCCCCAAAATCCAGCAAGGAAGTAAAATTAGGAGCGTGGGTCTCGGACTGAAACAGCAGTGTTACCCTCAGAACATTTTGGGTATCCTGATTGCGTTAAATCAATTAGTACCTCTTTTGGAAAATCGCAAATCTTGTGATTATTAACGCTAATTTATGATTATTTGAAATTAAATGTCATGTTACTGGCCTCAGTCTGAACGACGTAAGAGCCGTACTAACCTCAGTTGTTGCTTCAATCCAAGGGTTGCACAAAGGTAAAACAGCTGGGACTGTGATAGACTTATTTGACTCTCCACGAGTTCCTGTCAATTTTTCTGTTAGTTTCTTGCCATGTTGATTGACGATGAAGATGGTTAAACGATGATATGAGACTCTGGAATGGGAAAATAACAAGAACTTTATGCCAACATCCTTTTGTGTACAGTGCCCATGAAAGGAATTTTGGGTATCTCAATTGCGTTACATTGATAAATAAGTCTTTTTGCTCAGAAGCTAATCTCTGGAAAATCCCAAACCTAGTGTTTGATAAACAAGAACGAAAGGTGACAGTTTCGCGGTGACAGTCACGTGGTAACAGTCACGCGGTGACAGTCACGCGGTGACAGTCACGCGGTGACAGTGACGCGGTGACAGTGACGCGGTGACAGTGACGCGGTGACAGTGACGCGGTGACAGTGACGCGGTGACAGTAACAGTGTCTCACCTTCTCCACAGCTGTAAATCACTAAATTTAGTGCCACTAGTCTCTGCTAACCTGCGCTCCTCCCCTAGACCTCCGATACTGAGCGCCGGGAATATAGTAACACAGGCTAATTCGGGATTACTTAAAATTAAATGTCTCGTTATTGGGCTAAGTACTAACCTCAGTTGTTGCTTTATTCCAAGGGTTACACAAAGGCAAAAAAGCTGGGACTGTTATAGACCTATTTGACTCTCCAAGAGTTCCCGTTAATTTCCTTGCGTGCTAATAGACGATGAAAATGGTAAAAAATTTCAAGCACCCTTTCAGCCTCTGGAATGGGAAAAATAACAAGACCTTTATTCCAACATTCTTATGTGAAAATTTCCCGAGAGAGGAGTTTTTAAGGAGTGAAAATACAAGCTTGGGATTGGCAGAAGTGTTACTATTTATTCACCTTCACCTTCTCAATCGACGAATTAACTCTCATAGAAGCAAAGAATAAACAGTCTGTCAAATTCATAAATATATACATAAATGAATAAGGAACTTTCAGGCTAAGGCCTTTAACATCTAAAATGTAAATGAGCGATATTAAAATCAAACAACAGAGACCCCTTGCACATGACGTCACTGGCGATTTAGGATTACGTGACATTTTCCATCTGGAGGACAACCTAGCGTGATAGATCGAAAGAAATATACGCAGAGACGTCAGTCATGGTCAACTTTTGTGCCGTATTTGGCTGTTCTAACCGTTCAAATCGTAACAAAGACAAGCGTTTCTTTAGAATACCTACTGTCAAAAGTAATGTCGGAGATAATTTAAAATTGCTTCAAAAACAACTCCAAAGCGAATGGGTAAAGAGGATCAGACGTGAAGACCTGACTCCAGACAAGTATTCGAAAGCTCGTGTTTGTAGTGATCACTTCGTATCAGGTAAAACGCTACAATAATTTTTAAACTGACCAATATAGATCTTAAGAGTACAAGTATTTCATTTATAGTGGTGTTGAATCCATAGTGATTGTTTAGTTTTGGTATTTGCAGCTTCTAGTTTGTTTAGTAGCTTTCAGTTCGTCTAGCTTCTAGTTTGCTTACCACCAGGGCAACCAACAGATCTCTACCATACCGAAGATGCCGATTGGGCTCCTAGTTTAAACCTTGGTTGAATGCAAAGTGTGAAAAGATATTACTTCAAAAAATAAAGTACTTTTCGTCAGATAAAGACGAGAAAAGAATCTATTTTTGCAATTATTACTGATTAATTGTCGTTTGACACAAATCATGTAATGACCATTAGCCTCACATGAATGTTAGACTTTTAAGTTTGAAGACGTTTCCCAAACATCACTCACTGGTAACAGAGGCGGATTTAGGGGGAGGGTATAGGGGGTGCGCACCCCCCCCTGAGATGACTGCAGCAGTTCACATTATGTTATTTCCTAGGCAAAAGCCCTCTTCGTACTCCCTATTACAATTTCTTTACGTCCAGTCACCAGTCAGTTACGCCATTCTTTAGTGGTGCACCTCCTCCTCAAAAAACTCCTCGATCCGCCCCTGAGGAAAAATAGCTTTGAGTTATCATAGTGAGTGACCGAGTCAGTGTTTGATCGCTGTTGTTTCAAATGTTGCGTTGTAAAAGCTGATTTATTGCACAGATAAACTCGAGGGGGAACGCCGCAACTCATGACTAGTATCTTACAATAGTCTGAGTAGAGTAATGGTAACAACGGATTGTGTGGGTAAAGTTGTTAAATTCGCTCTCATATATCAGACAGGGGTCTCACGACGTCTCACGAGTCGGATTTAACATCAATACAGTGATATTATTGTTGGTGTTCGCCCTTTTTTTTTTACGGTATACATCTGTTATCAATTCAAAGCTGTACGTCAGAAGCGTGTTTGCAAAACTTTGATAACCTTTCAAAGATTTAATAATCTGCATGTCCTGCACACTGCAAATCAATTCTGTTTTTTCTTGTTCAAAAGCCTTTGTTATTACAGTAGATATTTGCACGTGATGAGACAGACAACCCCCCTGCGAATGTCACTGTGCATGCGCAGTAACGCGATTGCTAAAGGAAGTGCATTTTCGGGGTCAAGCCTTTTGATTAAACAATGTTCGTTTCCGCAGCAGCGAACTAATGTGAGTTAAAAAATCTGTGAACCTGAATAGGAACGAAAGTACTTTTAAGCTTCGCTATTGCAATGGTGTTACCTTTACGATACAGTTTTGGAAATGTATGCAAACCTAACTCAATTGTTTATCCTGAAATCAGATATATTTTTCTAGCACGTTCAACAACTCGATGTAACTTATACTCTGCTAATGCTCTTAGTTTATGGGAACTTAACCTCCAAGTTGCACTTTCTTCAGCGACCGCGCAACTACGCATGCTCAATATTACAAACAAAGGTTTCACTCATCTTATTGATTGTAAACTATGGCGCAGTTATGATAGTAACCAGACTCTCGAGAAAAAAATACGGCACACGTTCATCATTCATTATGTAACTTAGAAAATTACGCAACAGGTATTCAAACAGTGCCCTATCTTGCAACTTTTTTGAAAATGAACGGTGGTATAAATCTGACAGTGCGATCTCCTATCTAAAAAAAACAGTCAGTTCAGATACTATCAAAAATTTTTGGCCGAGGAACTTTCTCTCGATTTTTTTATGATATTCTTGTTGTTGTTGTTGTCAGCCGAGGTATAACACTAACAATGAGCCCTGCTGATCTGCTATATATCTTTCTGCCATAAAGAGAAGTTTCGTCTGAAATATTTCCAGCTTTCGACTTACCGTCCTTCTTTGTTTCTTTTCATGCCGATCTTTTTAATTCAGTTCAATATTCCAATTGCACTTGCTTCAGCAATAACATTACTACGCATGTCCAGTCACGTTAGTCTTGACTCAAGATGACTGGCTTAGATGTAGTCTTAGTCAGTCTGGGAAGGTATTTGAAAAGTCCCTCGACAACTTTCTGTAAGTAAGTGGACTTTATT